AATCTGGTGATTGGACATAGGGTCATTATGAGATTAATTTCAAGCAAAATTGGTAATGATTACCAGGTATCCTGTTTTTAATTTAATTATTTGAGACAAGAGCGGTAGACAGACATGAGACAGCCTACTAATGTTATATGGTTTCAAAGTTAAGGAAATGATTGGAGAGTTTAGAACAAAACATCAGCGCAACAGTCATCTGTTTTTCTTGACATAAATTGAGTATTCCAGAGTGATAAATCATAAAGTTGAGCCGGGATTAGTTCTGAATGATTATCAAGTGCAGTCAGGGAGGCATAAAGGAATGTATTGAGACAAGAGAAAAAACGAGGAACATATGAAGAATTAGTGTTAAAAAATAATGTGAACAGGGGGAGAAAGCCTTGTGGGTTTTTAATTTTGGATGATTATTCTTTAATCAAAAATTGTTTTAATTCATGATGAATCTTTTAAACAAAATTGTAGTTTGGTAGTTAGTAGCAACCCCAAAGTGTAAAATGGTATTCAATATTGTGAAGATATTCTGTCGATAGGTAAGGCATGGCATAGAGCCGGTTTTCTAATTGCCAAGGACCGGGCTGTTAGGATTCTAATACGAGACGTCAAGTAGCCTCATGCATGCAAGATCGGCATTCATGTAACCAAGTGGGCGTATATGATATATCACGAAGACCTCTTATACCAACATTCATGTTACATCCCCCAGGTGATATTATGATTATTATTATCATTATTGTTTTGCTCTTTAAAGAAAAAAAAGCAGCATCCTCTTATATGAGTGTGGTGAGGGACGATTTCCTCAAACACATGGCGGGAAAAGATAAGACATAGATTTTCCTCTGCTCTTAGCTTTATCGGAAGCCGGTGAGGTTGGAACGCTGAAAACAGTCCTATTAATAAGAAGAGAACCAAGATCTGATTCTTGAAGACGACGAGGTATCGGAAGGTGAAGGAGAGGAAGAGAGAAGAGAGATCAAGACTTTCGAGGACGTAGTAATAATGTGTGGAGAGCCCGGCTCTTAGCGCCTGCCTTTGGTGACAAATAATTGATTTGAAACGGGGCTAAAACGCTTGTCTTTCTAAAGTGTGTTCTTTGATGTTTTGGATGAAAGCGTAACTTGAAAAGGTACATTTGCTTGATTAAGAGCACATTATGGACATTTCATTATTGAAGGGGATATGATAAGTACAGAAAAGCAAACTAAGACAATAATACAACCCTTTAGTTTCACCCTTTTATGAGAATAGAGACACTACCGTTATTCAATGATTCCTGCGAATTCAACCAATGAGTTATTACAAGATACTGTTTAAAAAAATTCACTTTAACCCTCTTTCATTTCCATGTTTCCTCTTTAATTTAAAAACCATATTTTTGAAACATTTTTTTCATGTATGTTTTTCTTATCAACTTGCTCCATAACATCAAATATTAGCGGTGCATTGATGATAAGGAAATAGTCCAATTATAGCTGCTCTGCCAGTCTTTTATTGTCCTTTGAAATATAGAGGATTAAGTATACCCTTGACTGATTAGAAACCAACTTGAACCACAAATTAACATTCGCAAATTAAAACCAATGTGAACATGGAGAGTTTTCAACAGGCAAGGGCCGATAGAGATCATGTTTGGTACGATACAGGGTATCACAAACCCTTACTTAATAGGAAGTACGCACAGGTTGGTACGATGAAAAGCTGTCATTGATATGAGAGCTTAAAATGGCTACTGGCTCCATTCTGAACTTATTCAATTTCAGAATCCCTCGTAGCTCTCGTGACGGAGATAGTATGATGATGATGTTTTGTATGGCATTGGAATCTTAAAGAAAGGTCACACGTTGCTTTCCTTCCAAGGTGTAGATTAGTTAATCAGATTTTTTAAAATATTTTTATTTAAAGCCTTTTTAGTTTGCCTTTGTTTGTCATGTGTTCATTCTTATCATTTTAGTACTAATCAGTCACACAACACCTACATGCTATGACGTTAAGAATAAAATGATACCCTTGTATCTCAATTTTGTGTTTAACTATATACAGTAAACTATTACAAATATACGGGGCTATTTTTGGCTAATTGTTTTTCTTTTTTGACAAAGAAGCCCCAAATGATTTAGCTTATTTTCCAAATGACTTGTTTATTAACTTCCATCATGGTCCTGTAGAATGCCGCGTCTGTCCTTCGGGGAGAACATAAGCATGTTGACCAGAATTAGATAAACAATAAAACGAAAATCAATGACTGCGCCGTACCCGCAAACACCAAGCAGAAACAAGTGCAAATAAAAGATGGGAGAAAAATGTCAATGCGCATTGAAAAGACGGTTTGGATGTGACAGATGTAGAGGTTGTCATCTATTGTTTCGGAACATATGTCAGGGGCTCTCGGTGAATGGTCAGTGAGGGGGGTATTGATGGGTCAATACAATAGGGACAAGGAGCTAAGCCATTAGAATTAAAACTGAGGGACAAAGACGTTACAAGGAAAAGGGCACCCAGGTATTGTCAATAGGAGTTGTAAATATCGCCCCGGGCTATCTCCACCAACATCAATTTTTTATCGACCGTCGCCATTGTCGCGATGGCTTGATGCTGGCGGATTTGGTGACCAGGATTTCGTCACACGTCAATACGAAGACAACGGAGAATAAATCGCCCCGGGCAAGGGATTTATTTCAGTCGGTGATATTTATTGGCAGACTAGAGATAGGGAAAGGGTGGCGAATATCTATATCGGGTGTAAGATGGTGATGACGGGGGAAGGGGGGGGGGGGTGGGAATCCTAAGTGGCAACGGGAATTGATATCAAAACATGTTCACAACAATTATAGCTCCCTTGTGGCAGGCATGTTATATTAATAAAGCTTTCAGAGATCAATACTCAACCAATATCCCAGCATGCAAATCAGCACGTTCTTGACACAGGGCACGGCTAGCGCAACGGCAGAACAAAGGGTCGAGCTGTGAGGGAATTCGTAGGGTGACAAAATATTCTACCTCCCTTGCCTTTGTCTTGGCGGGTTTTAAGTGGCCATGCATTATTATCGAAGATGTACAATTAGCCCAGCTTCCTGTATCAATGCGAATGAATTAGGCCTTTGATATACAATTTCCACCTCCCTTATCGGAGACAATACTTCTGCTTTATGCACCTTTTCCTGCTGTTGCGTTCCCAGTGATTAGATTTACTGCTTGTGTTCCTAGCCCCATATTCCTGGCATCCTTTCCACTCATTATTTTCAAGTACACGCGGCAATTTGAGCAATCATCGGGCACTAATGCATAATCCAACCCAAGGTGTTTACCAACGCTCTAATGTAGATTGGATTTCTAAATTATGCTTCGTTTTTATCTTGTCATCACATCATATCCCAGCCTGAAAGCTCTAATTGAAACACTTAATTTCTACGAGATGGATTCTGTTTTTCCTACTAGTCATTGCTCGCTTGCTAATAGTGTTGTTTTGTAAGCAATTTGAGATTAAATGTAAACCAGTAAGATTTTTTTTTTTTCTTCTTCAAATCATTATTTTTGTTTTTCCCTCTTTCTCCTTTTCTCTCTCTCTCTCTCTGATATATAAATTCCACCTCCCTTATCTGGATTTGATCTTTATTTTATTCATCATAAAACACTTCATGAAAAAACATATCAAATACAGAACATATTGTATTGTACAAGTTAAAGAAGACATTTACAATAGAATACAACAACAACAAAAATGTCATATGAATGTGGAGATAGCTAGGAAAGCCATAGACTTTACTGGTGCTGCCACCAAAACAGTAATACAGTATAACATTGTTGTTTAAAAAGTTGATTTAAAAAGAAAACTATTGCCTAAAAAGAGGGGGGGGGGGACAAAAACCTGGCCGTGTACAGAATCAATCTTTATTTCTTTTTTTGGATTAGAAAAGATGGATTAGAAATGATTTTTCTCTTTCTCATTGTATTTTCTTTCTTTTACTCTCTCACCCCTTAGTTCTATCTCTCCCCTCGCTCCCTCTCGCTCTCTCCTTGCTCTTAGTAATAGTATAATCTCTTTTAATTTATGTTTATACCTCTCTTCAAACCATTTTTGCTGTATTATCTTTTTCATCCTCCCCACCGACCCCGACCCCCACTCCATTACCGTCGCCTATTTTTTTCCCTTCACTTTCTCTTTTTTTTTGGACATTTTCTTTCACTAACTCTCGTTCTTACTATTTCTCGACATATCTGTCTACCTTTTAGGGGGGGGGGTATCCAACATTGTACTATCTCCTTTTCTTCTTCTTCTCTTTCTTCTATTTCTTTATCACATAAAGGGGTTTAATCATTCTTTATCTTACGTGTACAGTTTCAAATGATATTCACTTTTATTTGCAGAAACTGCATGTTGGGATTCAATATTGATATAGTCCTGTTAAATTTAGACCTATTCTTACAAAAGGGATTATGCTGTTCATAGTATAATTTTTAAAGTTTATTTCAATACCTGTAGTAATGCGAGGAACGATATTTATCATAATGTATTTGTAATAGATGAGTAAAGAACAGTTACTATGTACTTACTTTCTTTACATTAGTAGAATGGAATTTGTGAGTGTTTTGTATAAGGGCTGATTTCTTGACCCAGGAATAATTAGATTTCCTGTTGAAATAGAACTTTCTTTCTGTTGGCATTCTCCCCCCCCCCCCCTAGTTTCCATGTTTAATGTTGTATATCCCTATTATACAAACAGTTTGAATTATATATTCTTGTATTCACCAGAACTCGTTTGAGTTTAAGTGAGAACTCCAAAAAGCTTCTTTTTTTTTAAAATTGTTGTATCCATTTTTTATTCTTTGACACTTTTGAAACCAACCATAGATAAATTGCTCTGTGCTCATGTGACTTTATTTTCCCCCGCCAATTGCAGTTATTTGGTGATTAGAGTTGAATGGAAATATTCCAACAAAATGTATTTCGAACATTAATTAATTAACTCATATGTTCCTTTTTCACCTTTTGTATTTTTCAGGTACACCTGTTAACAGGATTCCCATCATGGCCAAGCAAGTCTTGGACCTATATGAACTCTATAACTTAGTGGTCGCCAAGGGTGGCTTAGTGGAAGTTATCAATAAGAAACAATGGAGAGAGATAACCAAAGGACTTAACCTACCAGCATCCATCACCAGTGCTGCTTTCACACTGAGAACACAGTAAGTATTCCAACTCAACTCTTAATATTCCACTCAAATAGGAGGCCTGTCCTCATCAGCTCGAGTTTACCAAATAACACGCTGATTTCAGACTTGGGATATTATCCCGAAGCTCAAAATTGCGTCCTCACCAGACCGATACGCTCATCACAAACTAGCTCGGACAGGCGCAATTTAGCCCGCTATTTCCCTAATAGTGGGATATTTTGGAAACGAGACCGAGATTTCTCGGGATGATTTCTCGACTAAATATCCCGGTTATTGCAACTACGGGCTGATGAAGACGCACATTAACTGACCAATTTGTTATCGGGATAGTTAAGATAGCGGGTTATTTGACAAACTCGAGCTGATGAAAACAAGGCCTACCTGTGTCACATTGTATTTATCATGGGAAATTATACCAAAGGCTTCAAGATTATTCAACAGTTTGCAGTGAAAGATTAATCTATACCGGTGTATAGATTAGTGGGGTCACGGAGTTAATCAAAATTGGAAATGGGTGATTTCTGCGAAGCCTTTGTGTTACACAAAGCAATCCTGCCATCCATTGGTGCCTATTGTTTTGTGCAAAATTGCATGTGTGGCAAAGGATTGACCGAAAAGAGAGCCATCAAAAGCAACCAAAGTGATAACCCTTTGAAATGTCATATTTTCCTATAATACATGTATTTATAGGTCTTTGTTAAATGAAATGTAACAAAAATAAAATTCAAAGAGTTACAGGGTAAATCAGTAATTTCATAAATATATTTTAGGTGCTATTCAGCAGTTAACTAAGAATTGAAATCAGTTGTGCATACATGAATATTGACTATAAAGTGTTTGGATTAAGCAAATCAGAGAACTTCAAGCAACAACATAAAAGTTAAAAGTTTCGGGCGTACCCACTACAAGCTATGCTTTTCGGGTTTCGCGCCTTTTCCCTTGTAATACAAGTTCTTTAATTATATTTATGTTCCTACTTATAAATTGTATTGTTTGGAAGAAAATAAATGTTCGTTTGAATTGAATTGAATATGTTTTCTCAAAGAATTTATGAAATCACATACAAAATACCCATGTACATCTACAGTCAATTTTTTATAATTTTTTTTATTTAGTTTTGTTTTCTTGGTTGAGTTTGCTTCATGATAGCACAGAATAAAATGCCCATTCAATTAGTCTGTAATATGTGAAACAAAACAAGGATATGATCTGTTCAGAATTCAAGAGAAGATTTTTTAATGGAATGTTTGACATCTGCCCTGCACCAAACACTGGGGATACATTTTTTGTAATGCTTTGAATGATTTCTCTCCAGGTATATGAAATATCTGTATCCCTACGAGTGTGAGAAGAAGGGTCTGAGCTCCCCTTCAGAGCTCCAGTCTGCCATTGATGGTAACCGACGAGAGGGGCGTCGCCCATCATACCACAGCCCTCACATGCACCCCCGTGGCCCCTCCCTGGCATACCACCATGGGTTAGATCTACATACCCCTTCTGGTTCCCCTCCGCCTACTATGATACCACACCCATCGCGCATCCCTACTCTACCACCGCGATTATCACCTTCTACGTCACCAAGTAAGAAGACAAATCCCCTCTCTCTCTATTCATACTCTTCTGTGTCAACTACCCTCTCTCATACATTTGTTTTCTTGTTACCTCCCTATCTGTGCCCCCTTTTCCTTCCCTCTCTCATAATTTTGCTTTTTTTTCTTCTCCCTATCTTATCACTTTTAATCTTTTTACTGTAGATCTTTCTCCCCATCTAAATCATCCTTTTCTCTTCTTTCCTCTCTGTATATGAATAAAGTCTATATGACTCTCACATTCCTCTCTCTCTCCCTCTTTCTATCTCTCTCTGTCTATCTTTCTTTGTTGTCCTTCTATCTCTCTTATCTCCATTTTCTTTCTTTATTTATCATTCATTTATTTATTTAGTATTTCCCATACTGTCTTGTTGTTTCTGTTCCTTTCCCTGTCCCTAAGTTTCCTTTGCTAGTTCTCATTCTTTTGAAATATTCCTGTCATCTCCTCTATGCCTCTCTTTTTTTATTTCAAATTAATTGCATTGGAAAGATCTTGCATAAACCATATCATTGAAGTTAAACTGAAGCAGATTACCAAATTTCAATTATTATGAAAACAAAGTAATCTATATACTACATGTATGTATATGAGCTGTGAACTTTCAACGATCTATTTATCAAGTAGTGTATACAAATTTTTGTCATCAAATCATCCATTTTGAGACTTTAACATGTTTATTTTCTACTTTCAGTTGAGGATGACCACCCGGTACCCCTGGGTTTCCCTAGACAAGGAACCCTCAGCCATGCAGCTATGCTTGCTGAGCTAGCAGAGAGGGGCTCGATACCACCCCCTTCTAAACGCTCTCTACTGGCAGAGGAACATCATCACCGCCTATTACAGCTCCAACAGCAGCATCTTGTCATGCCTACAGCTCACCTTAAAGTTAGCAGCGCCAGAGGTAAGACGAGCCCTTTATGTTTGAGTGAAAATGAAACAAAAAATCTCCTTCCCATCTTTCTGCATTCTTTTAAGGCCCAATTGCACTACTTAAAGCTACTTGTGCCCTCTATATAGCAAACAATGCCTTAGCGGTGACCGTTGGTCCCCCATGGTCCCCCATGGTCCCCTTTTTCTTATGTTAATTGCAAGCTGATTTGATGAGATAACCACCTGTCAGTGACCATGCAGGGAGGTCTAATCCCTCCTAGCCAAACTAGTACAGACGGTATTTAATCTGTTTTATTTCAACAATTTATTACAGTTCACCATCATGTTATCAACTAAGTAATATACAACGTGAGATTGATTCCTACACCTTTACACTTGTCACATTGAACATCCATGCAAAATCAGTCATTTTTTTGTATTTACAGGTGTATAAAATACCTGCATTTATGACTAAATCAACATTTAGAATAGAAATTTAATGAGAAAATCTTTTGGTACAAATCATAGCCAAAGCATAGCCAAAGCAAAGTGCAGCAGTCAATTTATATATTTTTAAAAGTAAAACCCAAAATCAATCAAATCGTGTGGGTTTCCAAAATTGTTCTAACTATCTTCGAAGGTTCTCAACACATATATGTGGTATGCGTATATCAGATAATGTAGACTTTTTTAACAAAAGAATCAATGTGATTATTTATTATTAGTTTGTTAACTCATAATTTTATTAACATTTCAAACAACTTTTTTGTTCTTTTTCATTTTTCCAGCACACCCAGAAAATGGCATGCCTCTCTTTGAGATGCGCGGAGACAACTCACTGGTGATGAGTATTGAGCTGAACAGTGTCTTATACCAGGGCGTTCTTTACCCAAGGGGGGTACCAGGTCATCCCTTGATCGGTATACCAGTACCCCGGTCTAGCGCTTCCCCAAAATAAGGTGCTCCGTCCGAACATACCTCGGAGCAACAAACTGTTTTATGAAATGATTGTTAATGGTGTGAATAGACTTCTTTGAAAGACTGACTATATAGGGAAGTTATCACTTTTTCGGGAGCTGAAGATTGTTCTTGAGATGGACCATGCAGGACGGAGAGTTCGTCTTAGATGACAGTATTCGGTGCTGGGTGGATTCTGATTTGTTACAGTGTCTATAGCGTGGATTTGAGTGGATCATTATAAGTATCTGTTTAGATACAGAAGGACGTTAACTCTGTGTTTAAGGATTTGAGTTAACGCTCTTCTTGCTAAAAAAAACCCAGATGATTTCTTGTGTACATTCCATAATTATATAGAATCGTATCCAACACTGCAAATGAAAAGACATTGTCGATATAGTAGCAAAGAGTAAAATCTGCTACCACGCAGTGGCGGATAATACCAGCTCACCATCACTGCCTATGTGAACTCGACTGATTCTAGGAAAGGTCATAATACTTTCATAGATAGGATATAGGAGTATATATCTAGTGTAATAGATCAGTTTGACTACTTTTTCGTCTCTCATGAAGACCGCTATAATATTATTATTTGATTTGTTTTAACATGTATATATTGCATTTGACAATCTAGTTTGTTATCAAGTATATTAGGAAGATGACGACACTTTATGGTATTAATTGTTAGTTTAAATTGAAATATGATCTTGATCGTTCTTACTTGTAAATGGTAGAATATTATACTATGCTGACTATTTGTTTTCATTATCTCGTTTGCTGATAGCTACAAGGACGTTAATTCAATGCCCGGTGTATTTGTAACGCCCTCTGACTTTCACGGGATAGTCTCACGTATTAACATTCCCTTTTCACCATGCAGTATTCATATGTATTACAACATTAGCTATAATTTGCTGTGCACAAGTATATTGCCTGTTGAAAGTAATTTTCATCTTTTAAAGAAAAAGCAAATAACAATCAGCTGAGAATATCAATTCAGAAACCTATTTCCATTTTATTCATTTAATGTATCTCATAACATCCTATTTTAAGGCACATAATCATAACATTAAGATTCAGAGTTCAGAAACAACTCCTGCAGCGTTTTAGCTAAAAAGATAAATTTAGAATGGTTAAAGGTGGAAAACTTAGTAGCTTTTAATCTGAATGACTACTAAACCATTAAATACCTGAAATTTAGATACTAGTAGCGAGGCTTCGCTTTGTTTAGGTATTTATACTGATCACATTCTGTTTTAGACTATATAATTTTGGTGTTCTTGAAGTGTAGTTTACCAGTTTGTTTGATTTGACAACCATTCGGTGGAGGAATGTGACCAAAAAAAAACCTTATACACTTTGATTAAAATGTTATGGGATATGAATATTGAGTTATTTGTGCAATAATGTTCCAATGCATTGAATCATTGAAACACAAGAAAGCAGTCTGACAATTAAACTAGACAATCAGGAAAGGGTATATGTCAGAGAGGCAATCATTTTGTCTCTTTCAAGTTTGTGTGTATTGGTAAACAGAAGGAGACATGTTTATATGTGTTAATATATTGTCTACCGTCATTAGCTAGATATATGTCAACTTTACAGATGGTTTTCTGAGACCGCGTAAGGTAATAAGTGGTATCGTGAATTCAGGGTTTACAATATTGTGTATTTATATGTCTTTTCATATATACTTCTATGAAACTGGTAACTTTGGTAACCTGAACTTATTGCAAGTCTAAACCTTCCATTGACTTTGCAATAATTTTCGTTCAAGTAACAGTTTTATGTTTTTCAAGAAATTGTGCTGCCTGATCATCATCGAGAAATGTGCAAAACTTTGTTTCACAGCAAAACATGCTGCCGAAGAAATTATATATAAACTATTTAATAAGCAATAATACATTTATCTAAACCTTATGGATGATTCTTGTACCTATATGACATGTTGTATAGATCATGCAAGGCTAGGAAATCAGTGTAAAACCGTTGTCGAATTATTGAAACTATAGGGCCATTAATGCATTCTCATGCGTTAAAAAACAAACGTTGTAATTTTCATGGGTTCAGCTAAAGAATTGGGTTTCAATCAATGGCCTGAATAAAGAAAATGAATATATTAAAGAATGCTGCTTATTCATGCTGATAATGATGTTTTTAATACTGATGCGATGTATTGAAGACTTTCTGAAATCATTGAACATGATAAGCACATAATTATGAGTCTTTAAATACTTTGAGCTTAGTTGTGTAACTTTGTAGATAGTAAATTTAATTATGGAAATATGTGTTTTCCACAGTGCAGATTAGTAACTTAAATTTTAACTGTTCAGATACAAAGCGACTGTTCCTGTATAGATGAAAAGAATGGTTTTCAATATAATTCCCGAGCAACAAGTACAGAATAAGGTGATCGTTCCAATAAATTCTTCTTTCTTTTTGTTATCACAGTTGTATACCTTCATATGCAATAAATAATTTCACCTAATTTTTTCACCAAAATTATTTTTCTTTTCTTATTGGAACCTGGAGTTTACAACCCTCCATAAAAATATGGTGCTTCACTTCATAATATTTGCATGCTACGTTCAATCATAATATTCATGATAATGTATCATGAGTTGATTTGTAAATAAATGTTTTGTATTTATCTTTGGTGTAAAGTGATGACGAATGTACAGTTTTATGTATAACTAACTCCATTTCTTGTTTAATGCTAATCTATCAAGCATAGAAAATCATGTAAACATTCGTATTTATGTACAGTTAGTTTAGAAGACCCTCCTCGTATCATTTTGTGGATGATTTAACAATAATTTATATTAATTAATGCGGTGCTTACTTTTCAATCAACTTGCATAAGACATGGAGGGGGGGGGGTCATATTTGGAAAAAACAATTTTTCAGAAGTATAAATTCAAGAACCAGTTTGAAAAAAGAAGATAATAAAGAGAGACATATATTGCCGTAAATCCACATTTATTGCACTTCAGATATAATTACCAAGATGGAAAAAACATGCAAGAATCTTTTATATAATATTGACATATTTTGTACAAATGATCAAAGATATCAGAAAAAATAAATCGTAGAGTATTCTACAGTAGCTTCATGTAGTATATATACAAATATATATGTTTTTTTTTCCGTATTCACTGACGTATTCAGAATGCAAACTATCTCATTTAAAGTGCTAAATTCTGTTTGTAATACTTCAATCTGGTGATCAAATTGTGTGCTATTTTTTTTTCTTTTTTCAGTATTACACACTTGATAAGAGGGTGAACTCAAGAAATCACTGCACAACTAAAATATAAGTAAACCTGTAATATTTGTGTACTGCAGTGTACCACGTGTGAGTTCTCTTTTGTGCCTTAAGTCTGTCTTTCAGTGCTTTATGCAAACAGGTGCAATTGTCGATATTCGTGAGTGTGCTGTTTTGTTTTTAAAGTTTCTAACAAGTCATATTTATATTCTTTTATCAACATTGTCTCTAAAAAAGTTGTAGAGGACTGATGGTTTATAAAAAATAAGCGATTTAATAATAGGCTGTTGTGAGTCCAAACATATAATGTTGAAGTTTCATATGTTACCATTTTTTTTTTACAGTTTGTGTGACTCTTTCAATGTTTTATTTTGGGGAAAAGTATGTAGTACCTTTTGTAAACATGTAAATAAATCACCGCGTTGGTGACAGCCGAATATATATCCACACGCTTGTAATTCGTTTTATTTGCCTGTTCTATTCTTAAATCTCCTCATCTTCGTTTCCCTCTTTCCTACTCATCTCTCTATACAACAATAACACCGTGACAAAAATGGTTTACTAATATCAATAATGAAACACATTTGTTATATAATATCATAACCATATAGAATCATTGCAACACGATGATCAATTCATTGATAAATTTACGCCTAAAAATATTTAATGACAAAAGATGAATAATCTAGGCGATATAACGTTTTAAGGCACTGAACTATAATAAAACAAAACAAAACAATTTAAGTATAATTATAGAACATTATACACACATTATCATCACAAAGATGTCATACTCGTTTAAAATTCTAGAGACTTGAACAAAACTTTATTAATAATTCCTTTTCCTAAGGGTTACGACACAAAAGGTACCGCCTATTTGAATGAAAGTCCCGGAGGCTACAGGCCAATGAGTCCGAATGTCTCCGAGACCGAACATTCCGGTCTCGTGAACCCTCCACATTACTGCCACAATGTCCATGGGACCAAACAAAAACCCGGTCTCATGGGCCGTGTATAGAGGCACAGAAATTGATTTTAAAAATATTGCACTTCCCAAATCGTAGTATATATACACAAATATCACGTTTGAATACTGCTCGTAGTTTTTGGTAATGAATAAGATCAAAATTAGATATATCTGATCGTTAAGTCATTATTATCATGTGTACATGCTTTTAATTGGTATTTAATACATTGAACTTGAATTGAGCCGCTCCCGGGGTCATATCATACGGATAGGCGGTGAATAAAATGTGATTCAGGAAGACCACTAGTTACGGGGAGGAAATGGGAGGGGTGCTATCATCTTTTTTTTTCTTTGTCCTCTTCCCCTATTTCTTTCTCTTCTCTCTTTCCTTTACCTTCCCCCTTTTCCGCAATATAATTAAGGTCACTTTAATGCTCTCGTATATGTACGTCGCTACAATCCTATTTGCCTTTATCAGTCATGACTCATGACAAGAAATTGCCGCCGTACAGAAAAATTAATACGAAAAACAATTCAAGATGAAACAGAGGTTGACTCGATGCAGGACGGTAGAGGGCAGCAGTATGTTATTGATGATGTGTAACAAAACTCTCGACGGCTTTCTCCAGGTTCGTCATCCGTTCCGTCAACAAATCCAGTTTTCGTATGGATTCAGAGTCGTGACGACAATTCTGTTCCATTTGTTGGGTGAAAGCATCCACTCTGAATTAGATAGAATCGATCAGAACGAAGAAGAGCAATGTGAATATTTCAATTATTCAAAATTATTTCAATTATTCAAAAAATATTTATTTCTCAGTATTTTACAGAACAGTCCGGACTCAATGGCAATCACCATGATCCCTGCAACCATTGTAAATTTCGCTTTCATTTGATTAATATCTTATTCATAAAATACATTTGAAATGTGAAAGAATATGAAAAAGAATCAATGAACATAATATTTAATCAACAATAGTAAAGAAATTACTATAAATTTATTTTCATTTTTTCTCTCTCCCCCCCCCCTCTCTCTCTCTCTATTTTTCTTCTCACTCTCTCTCCGCCTCTCCCTCCCCTCTCTGTCTCGCTGTCTCTGTGTGTCTGTCTTTGTGAGTCTGTCTCTGTCTGTCTGTCTGTCTGTCTCTCTCTCTTCCCCCTCTCTCTCTATCTCTATTTCCCCTTCCCCTCTTTCTCCCTCCCCTTCCCCTATTTCTCACCCTCCCCTTTCTCCCACTCCCCTCTCTCCTTCTCTGTTCTCTCTGTCTCTGTCTCTGACCCCCCCCTCTCTCTCTCTCTCTCTCTCTCTCTAGCTGGTTGTTCGAAATAAGGAGCGTGCCAATGAAACCTTCAAATCTTCAAACCTCAAGATGTGCGAATGCAGGTCATATCCGCTTGTCGATCACGTGATACATGGGGGTCAATGACCTACTATACTCTCGCTGGAAGTTCATCATAACAACTCACGATTGCAAACAAGGGCATACCCGGATGTGATAGTGATTATTTAATTACATGATAATTATCGTAATTATAAGGACGAATAGGTATAATGAACATACTGCAAATAATATGAAAGATTTAACATTTCAAACAACGATATACGAGATGGATAATGAAGGCAAAGCCATAAATAATTATGTTACTTGTTTTCAGACCGTGATTCAGAATCTATCCCTCAAATGCTTTCAAATATTTTCCATGAGCTTACCGTTCACTGATGTGTTCAATGGTTCCTCCGATCGACTGTTGCTCTGTCAGTGTATTCTCTCGCAAGTAATTTTCAACAATGTCTTCTTCAAATCTGTACAAGAGCTGCAATGACTGTTCATCCATATGAATTTCTGAAAGGAAGATTGTTGGAAAAATGAAAGAAGATAAGATTTTTGATAGAGATAAATTTACTTTGTCATTATACCCTCACCTTCTTTCCCTGTATATTCAATTCAATTTTATTCCGCCCAATAATGACATAGGCATTCATTGTGGGATTTACATAATGCGTTTTACATTAAAATCATGTATACAAAGACATCAAAAGCATGATATTGAAATAGGAAATAATTACATTCAAAATCGGTTAAAAATTGGAAAAACACAACATTAACATGGACACAATGCACACGATTTACAACATAACATTGGCAGGCTACACAGTTCCCCGATTACTGCACCCACCCCCCCCCCCCCACCCCACCCCCAGAAACTCATCCCAAGCCAGTGCACGCCCGGAGAGACATAGAGATAGAGACAGTAAGAAATAACGAGAGACGAAGATAGAGAGATAGAGAGAGAGAAAGAGAAGGAGAGAGAGAGAGAGAGAGGGGGAGGGAGATATAATAGAGAGAGACATAAAAGAGAGACAGTGAGAAAGAGAGAGAGAAACAGAGAGAAAAGAAAGAGAGAAAGAGAGAGACGGAGAGGGAATAGAGAGATAGAGAGAGTATATAGGATGACTGATAATCCTACATGCGTCGTTTCAGAAAAATTGCCACAAGTGTTGACTAAAGTAAATGTTACTTGCTGAGCTCTATTTGTTAGTAATTTCGATTTTAAATTCCGTGTATTTCGAAGTCAGGATATTGTGAATACAAATGAAAACAAACGAAAACAGAGAAAGAAAGAAGGAGATTAGCCATTAATCCAAGCATATTTAGTAGGCCTACTATCAATTTTTTTTTGGAGATAAAAAATAGCTTCAAGTGTCATGTCAGCTAATTATTATTTTCGCATCAACATCAAGTATTGATAATGAAAACCCTAATTTTTGGTTTCCTGTTGCGAAGTAAATTTCATAAATCAATAATGTAATCTAACTAAACCTGCCACAGTTTTTGATCAATTTTGTTTTATTAGCACTGTAAATTCATAGAAATTTCAAGTTTATTTTTTAAAACAAGAAATGACTTACTCATATCTGAAGGATGTTTTGTTTTTCGATGTCGACAACATGACGTCATAAGCCTCTTGAGTAGGAGGTATATATGGACGACGAGTATGAACGGAGGTGGTAGGAACGGTCGCTCACTGAATTCCAGTATCAAACGATATCGCTGAAACTTCCAAATCTCGTTTGCATTCTCCTGCACTCTCAAAAATGTGTTGCTATGGAAACGAAAGGA